TCTAACGAGCAGTCTCAAATAGTGTGAAAGCAAGCCATTTTGTTTATTGATTCTCCTTTCCATTAAAATGTCATACCCATTCTCGAAAGCTGGGAAGGAGAGGGAGGGAGGAGGGAGGAGGAGAAAAGCCTCCATCGCTAGATCCCAGTGTTGGTTTTTATTACAGCATCGCGTGAATACATTTTGAATTAATCTTTTTCCACTACAGATTATAAATAATCAATGTTCTCAAAGAAACTTCATGTTATTCCTGTAGTCAGGAGTTCAGAAATAAATAATTTATTTTAAATTAGTGAAAAACATTGTGCAACCACAACGAATCTCATCTAATTTCTCATATTTTTCCATTTTAGCATTCAAAAGTGTGGCCTCGTCACATTGTTATATTTCGAGATGGTGTAAGTGATTCCGAAATGCTTCGTACTGCATTCATCGAATTGAAGTGGATCAGGTATAAAATCATTTGTTCCATTCGAAAGGTTTGCTTCCGAAAAGAGTGGTAGCAGAAAATTGAATTTTACTATTTGTATCCCAAACCTTCAGTGGTGCTTTTCTAAGAAGTGCCTATTAGCTCATGCCTAAAAGAACTAGTGCTCTCCTTTGCAGGTTAAATTTCAGTAGAACGGCATGCCTGCCCTGATTTTATCATCGCAGAGTTCATATTTACAAACATTTTTATCCATAAGCATCAATGTTGTTGAATAAGATATCTTAGCGAGAAGATTTAGGAAGACGATAGATTTAAAAAGAGGATTTTTAGCATCATTGCCGTGTAGAAATTGACCATTTTGAATCAAAACATGCCCGTGGGGCTCTCAGCAAAAAAGTGAAATTAAAAGAGAATACACTATATTTTACGATTATCATAGTCAGTCACCAAATAATCATAAGTTCTGTTTATATATAGATGAATTATTCTCAGAGCTAAGCGAGAAGTATGTTTGTGCGTATCTGCGCAGATGTCTCTTACGCATTTTATAACACAAAATCCCGATTTTGCCTAAATTAGGGACTCATTTCTTTTTAGCCTACTTGGCTTTTCATTCTAATCACGATGCTCCACCACCTCTGATAGAACCTTACAATCGTAAAATTGATTCCGTAGCCAGCGAGGGTGCAGTCAGATCGCGGTAAATAGTCCTCTACCTCTCTCGGCGTGAGCCCTTTAAGTTGCCTTCTAAAGCCCATTCACAGCCTAGAAAGACTTCCAAAAATCTCTATTTTCTCCTTATTCACACAAACTCATGGTTTATCTCCCGCCCATAAATGTAATGAATGAATGTTATGAATGTGTTAGTAATACTAATGCTAAGAAACTCTTCTTTTGAACTCGGGAAAATAAATCTGACATAATACTGTCCGTAGAAGATAATGATTACTCATCCTCTCTATTCATATTTAACACATTAGACTTTATTGTCTAAGTTAAAATTCTTTGTTAATACATTGATACCAGTACTGCATAACTTTTGTCAACTTGCCAGCTTCCTTGTGAACTACTGATGAAAGGGTTTTCAAACCCGGGGGCATCAAGGAAGTCGCACTACCGGTCTAGTTCTTAGCCCCCAAACCGGGAATTGTGAGAATACTTTCGTATCTTCTATTATAGCATATCTGCAAAACAAATTGCATGAGTACTTTATAAATACATTCCAATCTTTATCACTTACCACATTTTTTAGGGAATCATGGACGAAAATGACAGAATTAGATGCAAAAGAATTGGATCTTGACGTAACATACACATATATAGTGATTCAAAAACGACATATCACACGTTTCTATAAACCATCGAAAAAGGAGAATGGGGAGAACATGTAAGCTTTGAGCGTTTAGGTATCCTTTTGCAGGAGAAGCTGTGATCGTTTCAGATATGTAAATGTGGAATCTGGAACCATTGTAGACAATGTGGTTGTCTCACCACAGCTATTCGACTTCTATTTGGCATCGCAGATTGGAGCCATTGTAAGATTTGTAATTTATCTTTTCCTTTGCTCTTTTTAAATCTATTTATCAGGGAACAACTCGTCCTGCTCACTACACAGTTGTAGTTGATGAATGGATGCTAAGTGCAGATCAGATTTACGTAAGTTCTTTTCTTCACTGCGAATAAGAGGATTAGCGATTAGGCTATGCAAATTCTAGGAAATGTGCTATCAACATTGTTTCCTCTATGCGAGATGCAGAATACCAGTATCGTTACCTTGCCCAGTATACTACGCTCATTTAGTATGTGAAAAGGCAAAAGAAGTGTACAAGACGCTGTGCAGGTGAGTATCTTGAACCTTGCTAAATTGCAGCCATATTCTTAGAAGCAAAGATTGTCAGCAACAAGCACCTCAGCTTGTCAAGTCCCTTCCCTTAATGTCGTAATTAAGTAACTCACTCTACTGGAATCTGCTTAAACTCTGCGAATAATTTGATCAGCTGTTAGTCTGTTTTTTTAGGTGAATGTTACAATATGCAAGGATTTACATAATTCCAATATCTTGAAAAAAATCTATGCTTTCTTAGAAGCTTGGCTAGTGAAAGTTACTGACAATAAGAACGGTGGAATATCAAATTTACAGCTAAGCATATAGAAGTAAGGGAGAATTTTGGACAAAGCTAAAATCACGCAGATTTAAAGTGCCCGGGCAATTTTTCGATCACGAGTCTTCTTTCTTTTCTGAATCATTTCGGCGCGATGAACACGAATAGCAACTTCTATTATCATTGTTAAAAAACGGAGATCGATCCCGGGTTTTCTTTGAATTAGTAGGAGCCATTTCAAATTTCCGACATTTGGTTCCGAAACGATTGCAGTTCTCGCTAAAGAGCGCCGTTGTTGAGAGAAGCCAAACAAGGGCGATATGATAAAGAAATCCTGAGTTGGCGGAGTAACCTACAGGAGGGCAGCTAAAGCTCGAAGCGCTTTTCTCGCTTACTACGTCGAGCTATTTGCCTGGTCGGCAATCATTATCTGATAAGAACTCAAAATCCTTAGTTTTCCCCGGACA